ATCTAAATCTAGTGGTAAGGTAGTAGCTATGTTGATAACATCTTGGAGAAAACTTATGCAATTTCCCTTTAAAGCTGATTGAGCTGTACTTGTCGAATGAAAAGACGAATGTAACTTGACAATGCAGCTATTGTGCCTATAAAGAGCAATCAGTTTTTGCTCAGGAATTGTTAATCCTTGTAGTTGTTCTGGAACATCCCCAACCCATATTTTGTTGGCAGGCGAGAATTTCGGTATTTTCTCTTTTATTAGAGACGACCAACATTCCGAACAAATATCACAGTGAACCGAATGTCGTCTTTTTCTCTCAACAGTTTTATGCAATCCTGCTGTATAAAAAACGATACCGTTTACACAAGTAAACGACTTTTTAGTTATTGTTGATTGAGGATTTGTATCTGAAATTAAAAAGGAGATTATTTACTGTATTAGTTTACGTATGAGCAAGACCAACCTCCTGCTTTTTCTGTTTGAAACAAAGCCATGGCAAGGTCGTCACTTATGTTAAGATTATCATGTGACTGGAATGGGCGCGTTTCCTGCATTCCTGGAATTGTGCCATAAAAATCATCGGGTACTTTCAGTAATTCAATAGACGGTATTTTACTGAACGGTATGTGGTGGAGATCACGTTTATAGCAACGAACGTTACAAATACCGCAAACACCTTCTTCCAGAAAGTTCATCGACATATGTTGAATAAAGTTCTTCAGACAGGTTTTCTTACGTTCAATATCAATAGGTTTTGGCCATTCAAAGTCGCTACTTTCTTGTAGTTTTGTTTTCATCGTTTCTTGTTGGTGCTTGCCACTTTTTCGAAGCCGCATTCTCTGACGAGCAGATGCTCGATGATGTTCGAGTTCATCAGATGTGTAAGCAGCTCGTCTTGCGGCACGTTTTTTGCGAGCTACTACGCGCTGTTCTTCGGCTATTTTTGGTGACGCTGTAGCTCGTTTACTCATAGTTCGTTCAGCAGCAAGTGTTCGTTGTAGCTGGATTTCTTTCGGCGTAAGAGTAGCTCTCCATGCTGCAACTTCATCACGAGTTTGCTCTCGTTGTTTTTCAATTTCTTCCGATGTTAAAGCAGCTCTTCTAGCTGCACTTTTGTCTCGAGCCACAGTACATTCATGTTCAACTTGTTCTAATGTTAAAGCAGCTCTTCTAGCTGCATTTCTGTCTTGAGCCACAGTACGTTCATGTTCAACTTGTTCTGGTGTTAAAGCAGCTCTCCATGCTGCAACTTTCTCACAAGTTTGCTCTCGTTGTTCTTCGATTTCTTCCGATGTTAAAGCAGCTCTTCTAGCTGCATTTCTGTCTCGAGCCACAGTACGTTCATGTTCAACTTGTTCTGATGTTAAAGCAGCTCTTCTAGCTGCACTTCTGTCGCGAGCCACAGCACATTCATGTTCAACTTGTTCTGGTGTTAAAGCAGCTCTCCATGCTGCAACTTTCTCACGAGTTTGCTCTTGTTGTTCTTCGATTTCTTCCGATGTTAAAGCAGCTCTTCTAGCTGCGCTTCTCTCTTGAGCCACAGTACGTTCATGTTCAACTTGTTCTGATGTTAAAGCAGCTCTTCTAGTTGCATTTCTCTCTCGTGCAAGGGTACGCTCTCGTTCAGCTTGTTCTGGTGTAAAGGCAGCTCTTCTGGCAGCACTCCTTTCTCTGGCAAGCGTGCGTTGTCTTTTAGCTTCTTCTGGTGTAGCTTCAGCTCGTTTAGCGGCCATACTTTCACGAGCTTTTTGACGTCTCCGATCCATATTTGTATTTTCAACATTCGTATAGTTTTCAGTTACTTGTAGTCTTCGTTTAGTCCGAGGAGTTGTTGCGATTTCCTGGTTTACCGTGGAAAGTGTCGATGACATTTGAAATTGTTGAGTTTCGTCATCCTCCGCATTAAATTCAGGAATGCGAACTTGAGTTAGTATGTTATTCTTCGTTGTCGATTTAGTTGGCGTCTGTAAGTGAAAGTATGTTTTTTTTTGTAAAAAGCTCTGTATTAAAAGATTGAACTCACCAAGCCTGAACCAATGGCTTTCGGTTCAGTCATGCTATTTTGATACTGAGATTCGTTCGACGGAAGTAAAAGTGGTACGAAATGATTAGGTGACCAATTACCAGCATTGCTTCTACGCGCATGTATTTCACTTTGAGTATGTGACCAGAATATATAAATTGTTTTAGATGAAATACTAGATTGAGCATGCTCAAAAGTACTATTCATGATGTCTAGATCGGGTCGATAATCAATTCTGGGATAAATACTTCGTATGTTGCATTTGAGAACATTGCTCAAGGCTGCAATTTCATATAGTTCTGAGAATGAAAAATTGAGGGCAATGCTTTTTATCGCTTCATTGAGTGATCCAACAATACGTGAAAAACGATGGCTGTAGAAAATGTCATTCTTTACCAGTTCCATTAAAGTTCGTACTAGACGAATGACAATTAAATAATTTTATACTAACGTCATTGGAACTTACCTCTCAGCTCACTAGGTGTTAACACTGTACTGCCGCTCAAACATACAATGGAACTATAGAGACAATTCCCATCTGCAATGACGTCAACTGGAATCATATCTTGAATATCGAAAGATGTTTGTTGAAGATATATTTTGGCTTCTTGATCAATTTTATGAACGGCTGGATCAAAATGAGTGACAGGTACAAAGTGAATTAGTGTCAAAAGCCACTGCAGCTAAATCATCAGAACAGAATACCACTTAATACATGTAAGAAGTAGACTTACGGTTTCAATTTGTTGACAAAGAGCCTTAATTTGATCATAGTAATTATCGACGATAGATGCTTTTCCAAGTTGCGTTAAAAAAATCGCGAACATTGTAGATCTATCCATCGCACGACAGCTTATGCAACAAGCTGTCGCAGCCCATTGTGTACAAAATATGCATTGATTATTCATATTAATCTTACACAATATAAAATGAAGCTAATGCAAATGTTTTCAACAAATTAACAACTAAAAATTCTTGATCTAAAATGCAATATGTTAAGCGAATGGAAATAAGCTACAAAGAACATTATTTACAAAACAGTTTACAGAATGAAGAATTTAATAGATTTTTATTTTGGATAAAAAAATACAAAATTACGACAATTTGAGATAATTTGAAAAATGGTAGTCGTAAAATTTCTACTATACGTTATAGGTGCTGTACTAATTTTACACAAAAATTTTTTGATAAAAAGTGAAAAGCACATAAGATATAGTAATTGGAGTCTGTCGCAGTGTATTGCCAACTGCCATTTCAAATTTTTTTCGATTGGGCACCTATGAGTTTACTTTTTGATCACCATCCCTCTCAAGTTCCACCATCGATTTAATTTCTCACAGGACACAGTGCAATCAGTGTCATCATCATTGCATATAAGACTCAGATTAAGAACACGTAATGGTGCTTGGATTTTTTCAAGGTGATAGGATTCGTCACATTGTTCTAAATATACATTAACAAATATCCGTAGCAGTGTTGGGGCAGACTCAAAAAGGCAAATCCACCTTTGATTAACAACAAAGCCATCAGCGTCTACAAGACCGGTTAGCTTCAGTTTTACGAGGCATGGTGCTCTTGCTACTAGTTTAATAATCCAGTTAAAAGATACTTCAAGTAGTCCAAGAGTAAGAGTGCGAACATTCAGGAAATTGAATGATGGTATAAGTTTCTGATTGCGATCAAGCAAGCCAATGCTAAGAAAACGAATACGACTAAAGTTAGACATTTCCTGTGAAAAATCATTCCAGCTAATTGTGGAGCCTGAACCAAAAATAAATTGTTCGATTTCGCTTGGTATCGTAGTCAATGTGGAGACTTGTCGACTTTCTACTATCTCATCAATATGAATTTCTAGTCGACGCAAAGAGGAAATAGATAAAATAGGGATTAATAATTCTTGTATAGATCCAATTGTAGGAATAACAACGGTAAGTTGGTTCAGTTTTGTATTGCTTCCCCGAATATTTCTCATGATTCCTGCGATCCATTCATTTTCGCCGATAAGTTTGAGTGATCGAAGCTCCAAGCAATGTTGAAGAACTTTAAAAGAAACAGCTTCGTTGAGAGTTAGAGAAATAACTCGATTCAAAGGAATTTGTTCTGGGACTTTTTCATTATGATCAAGCTTAAGTCCACTTAAAAAGAACCTGTAGTATTCATTATATAAAACTTGATCGACAGCATTTGTGATGGATGAAAACGACGTAAATAAGTCTGAAATTTCAAAATACTCAAATATGTGCTCCCAAATATCACAGCATAAATC